TAAAGCGATACAAATAGATCTATCTTTTGATCCAGCAATTCCACTACTGGGCATCTACCCAAAAGATCAAAAGTCACCTTATGAAAAAGACACCTGCACTCGAATGTTTATAGCAGCACAATTCACAATTGCAAAGTTGTGGAAACAACCCAAGTGCCGATCAATTCATGAGTGGATTAATAAAATGTGGTATATATATATCATGGAGTACTATTCAGCTTTAAGAAACAATGGTGATATAGCACCTCTTGTGTTTTCCTGGTTAGAGCTGGAACCCATTCTACTAAGTAAAGTATCTCAAGAATGGAAAAACAAACACCACATGTACTCACCAGCAAATTGGTATTAATGGATCAACACCTTAAGTGGACATATAGGAAAAACATTTATCAGGTTTCCGGCGGGTGGGAGAGGGGAGGAGGGGATGGGTATATACAAACATTATGAGTGAGATGTGCAATGTTCGGGAGATGGTCACGCTTGAAGCTCTGACTCGAGGGAGGAAGGGGGGCATGGGCGATATACATAACCTTAACATTTGTACCCCCTTAATATGCTGAAATAAAGAAACAATATAATTACAAACAAGAGACAAACACATGATTATCTCAATAGATAGGGAAAAATCATTTGGCAAAATCCATAATACATTCCAGATAAAAACTCTAATTAAACCAAGAAGAGAAGGAAACATCCTTAACTTGATATTTCTACAAAAAGCCTGCAGCTAACACCTTATTGTCAGAAGACTAAATACTTTCATTCTGGGATAAAGAACAAAGCAATATCTGCTTTCAACAATTTATTCACATTGTACTGTAGGTTCTAGCTTGTACAATGAGGCAATGAAAACCAAATGAAAAAAAAAAAGAAGTAAAATTATTTGTATTTGGAGACATGGTTATCTGTGTATAAAATCCTACAGGATCTATTAAAAAGCTACTAGAACAAATTAGTGAGTATAGTAGGTTGTAGGATCAATAAGATAAGATTGATATTCAAAAATTGACTGTATTTCTTTATCCTAGCAACAAACAATCTGAAACTAAAATTTTAAAGTGCCATTTACCATGTATCAAAAATTTCAAATTCTTAGGAAAATTTCTCCCATTACTACCCTATCTCTCTCTTAGTTAAGCACCCTGGAGAGTGAACAGCTGTCAGCCCTGTCTTCTCTTGTTCTATGTCCATTCACTTTTCAGTACAGAGGGCTCACATTGCTGCCCTGACAACTCCACCAGTATTGTGTTCATTCAGATCATCAGTTCCCTCCATTATGACAAATATATTGCCTCATATTAAAAAATTACCCTTCTTTCTTGATCTCTGTATTGCATCTCTCTCCTGGTTCTTTTAATACCACCAGAAAATTTCCAATATTTTACCCGAATAACATTCCTGAACATTCCCTGTGATTATGACGTTTCCTTTATTGATTCAGTAACATGTACATAGTTAGTCATTAAATTATATGTATTGCATGCAAGGATGAACTTATGTTGTAGGAAGGGTACACACCAGAAATAACTCATATTCCAGGGGAAATCTATTTGTTCTCCATGCAAATGTGGCGGGGCAATGCAGAGCAGTTATGGCACACCATCAGATGGGAGGAGCATGAACAAATATGGAGACATACATAAAAGTAGTTGTGTGGGTAAAATATTTGGCCTTCAGTGTTTGAAGAATTGGGCACCTAATCCATATTATTCCTGTCTAACTCTTTTCCTGCCGTCATTCTAGAGGTCAAATACTGGAATGGGTGAATGACTCAGACATCTGGAGCTCATATTCAACGATCTCCCAGAGCCACGTGCTGGACCTTACAATCACTGGGATTTGCTCCATTACCTCTAAATCATAAGTTTTGATTTTCCAGGTTCTGATCACAATTTCCTGTCATTTCATCATGCTCACTGACTTTCTCTCATTTTCCCTGTCCTTAGAGCTCATCTGACTCTCTGACCTCTCCAACTTTTCTTCATTTTGCATCTTCTCCTATCTTTACTCTCTTAACTATCCATCCTAACATCTGTAAGGCATTGCTTCAATCACTCTTTTGACAATATTCTCAGTTCTCTTACCCATGTGGCTTTTTGTTATATCTCTACTTATATGCTCAGACTTTTCAGTGTCTTAGAACTGATCTGACTTCTGGAGAAGTAAAAACACCAAGTATACATCAAATAAACTGTCACACATTCGTAGAACACAGGTACATAAGCTAGTGTGCCATCTTATTCTCTCTGTGTGTGTGTGTGTGTGTGTGTGTGCATACATGTGATCTGTGTGCACTGTTGGGGATACCCATGTCCTCAATTCAGAGCATCTTTATTCCTGGTATGGAAGTACCTGGGAAAACACTTTTTTGATTGGAAGTTTGCTTAGTAAGTGGTGAGTAAAGTTATGGTCCCTGTGCTATGGCTGAGGTTTTATGCCAAGCAGACTTGATCTTATCATTATTTCTTCAGGGCATACAAAGGCCCTGAAAGGGGCTGGATGGACACTGACAATCTTTGATTCCCTATATTTGTTGTTTTTTCTAGTGCTTCTTAATCTAGCCAATTGCTTCTTCATGTTTAGATATCTCTCCACTATTTCTCAGGATGTCGTCAAATCTTCTTGGCCTAGGAATTATTTTGTCCCTGTATGTATTAATAACTTTGCATATTTCTGCTTTAATCTATTGCATGCTGACTTTTTTAGTTTGGTACTTATTTCCAAATTCTTGGAGATCTCCCTCCTGATGGCTGTTCTCATGTACTGACTGAATGCACGCACGTACACACACACACACACACGTGCACGCACAAAACATTTACAAATCATTACACAAATATGTTCCGTCCCCAAAATGAGCAATATCATCACTACTTCTTTTATGGCAGCACAGACACAGATGTCACCAACTTAGTAAAATGATACAGTGAGTCACAAGAAACCAGTAGTACTAAAAGAAATAGGGGATATTTCATACTTTTTGACAAGCTATGATTGCAGCTCACGCTCAGATGCAGAAGGGTAATGACAGTAATGTGCGCAAACTGGAGGTAATGGATGCTCTCTCTTCTCTTACCGGTTCTGAGCTGCTTTATGTGCAGCTGTCACTATCCATCATGCAGCAAATTAGAAGCTAAAGTCTGTTGCAAATGAATGTCTGAAGAATGTAGATGGAATTGAGGACAGGAACCTCTATCCCTTAGAAGCTTTCATGTAAAAAATCAGATATATTCTGGATTTCTGGTTCATAAGAGTTCTTATTTATTTATTTATTTAGAGACAGAATCTCACTCTCTTGCCCCAGCTAGAGTGCCGTGGCGTCAGCCTAGCTCACAGCAACCTCCAACTCCTGGCCTCAAGGGATCCCCTTGCCTCAGCCTCCCAAGTAGCTGTGACTACAGGCACATGCCACCTTGCCCGGCTAATTTTTTTCTATTTTTAGTTGTTTGGCTAATTTCTTTCTAGTTATAGTAGAGACGGGGTCTCGCTCTTGCTCAGGCTGGTCTCGAACTCCTGAGCTCAAGTAATTGTCCTGCCTCGGCCTCCCAGAGTGCTAGGATTACAGGAGTGAGCCACCGTGCACAGCCCATAAGAGTTCTTAAGTATCTATTCACACCTTCATCAGCTGAGCACCAACTAGGTAAAAAGTGCTATGGGGTAACTCAGATACTGAAGGGGTAAGTCAGATAAGTATGACTTGGTCACTGAAAAGTGTTCATAAAGAACTAGCTTATGAATAAGTACTTTAGGAAAAAAAAAACAAACACTTTCTAAATATATCATATATGCATAACTCTTCTGATGCTTGAAGAAGCAGATACACACTTGCAGACTGATTGACAGCAGACACTAGTTACTTTCCTCAGGATCTGACTCCCAAATCTCCTCCTTTATGAATGCCAAGAAAAGAGAACCTTAAATCATCCCTCTATGTGTAGATGTAGTCTCACTTTAAGTCTCTTGGTGATTTGATACTATATGAGCTAATCCTCAAGAACATAAGTTCTAAAATAGGGCCTTTAGGCAGCCAACAAAGTGATGAGTTCCATCCTCCCCAAAAAACCAATGGGACCATTTATAAAGTTCTTTTCACCAGCACTTTCAAAGGAATATAGATTTTTTTTTTTCTGTCCACTCAAAGCCCTGATTTAAAAGCAGTTTGAAAATTGAAGGGATGAATCATTCTTGTGAAAATAATAACCTAGGACTCCCAAAGATATTCTTCAAGTTCCCTTAAGTTTAGGACATTTGAATGTCTATCAGAAATAGGCATGTGAATTAAAGCACTAGAGTCTTTTCCTTTTGTATGAAATCTCTCTCTCTTTGTCTCATTCTATTTATTAATGCTTCTGCATTGTTATAGAGGGTAAAGTTTACTAAAACTTACCTTCTTTTCCAGATTATTTAATTTTAACATGATTGTATTCAGTTCCTGCAAAAAATCTTCCAGAGAATATTGCTAAGAGCCATCCCATCAGAGGTAGTCCAATATTATGCTCTTTTATTTGTTTACTCCTTCTTTCATTCACATAGAACTGTTTGAGATTAAGGGACAATGATATAAAAGACATAGTCTTGGCTCCTTAACAGATTCAGTAGTGAATTGGACATAAAAATGAATAAATGATCTAAGAGCAATTTTGCATGTGAGAGGATGAGACTTTGGGAGTTTATAGGAGGATCAGCTGAGATAGAACCCCAAATGCCAGGGAAGAGAAAACCTTCCAGAGGAGATGGTGTCTGAGATGAGTCTCAAGGAAGGAATAGAGCCACCAAGGTATTCTTGAGGGAAGTAGTGCCAGATGCAAGCTCCTGTGGCATAAACATCCTGAATTGTTTTGGAAACTGCTAGTGTTTTAGACTCTTTGAAACATAAGAGGCCAATTGGGGACTGTTAAGAGATGATTGGGAATGGATCTGATAATTGTTTCTTGTGATCTCATATAGCAAATGGAATCCATGTCAGGGGTGTGGTATGATCAGAGCTGCATTTAGACTGTTCAATCTGGCAGCAGGGAGTTGAACTGATTGGGGAGTAATGAGAGGGAGGCAGAGGGACTAGTTAGGAAGCCATTATAATATCCAGGTAGGAAAGATGAAGGCCTGAATGCAGGAAGTGACTATGGGGATGGAAAAAAAAAAAAAAAGAATTGCCTTGAGGGATGTTGAGGAAAGGAAGTAAGCAGAATAAAGTGATGGATGTAAATGGGAGCAATGAAGATTCACGATGCTTTGACTGACAGCTGACCAGAGCACTGGTTTAATGGCAGAAATTGTCTTTTTTTCCCTGTGGAATCTAGCATGGGTTCTTACATACAACAGGTGTGGGAAATTTGTGAAAATTGGAAAAAAAACTTGTAATGTATATGTCACCTAAGTACTTACATCTTTAAGTAAGTACTTACATCTTACAATCTTTAAAAAAGAAACCTTTTCATGATTGTTGATGTTATTATTATCTAGTTTTCCTGATAAGGAAGGTGAGGCTCAAATAGTAAATAACTTTCCCAAGATCACACAAAGTCATAACTGTACACACACTGCTGGCTACTAATTCTATTACTGCATGAAGAACCTTCACAAAATAATAATAGTAATAATAAAAATAAACGTGTACACCACAGATAAAACATTGGGCAAAAGGCATGAGCAGTTTGGAAAAGTAATATTAATATAAATGGCAAATTTATATGAAAAAGGTTCAATATCACTGTTTAAAGTAGTATAAATTTAAAATATTTCAGTGGTACAGTACTCACAAAAGTGAAAAATCAAAGAAAAGGATGTATGCGCCTCATTTTTTGCTTGGTTTATCAGATGGGCAAGTACTTTATAAAACAATAATATGTAATATTTTAAGAATTTGGGACTATTCGATATATTTGGGAACTAATACTCTTTTAAAGTCAATTTTTGACATATAGTGAATAGTTGAGCAGTATATGAATCACAGGTGCATGAAACAATGTCTTTTCATAAGGGGAACACATTGTTCTGGCCACCACTCCGACATGAAAGACAATGTTGACAGTATTAACCAAAAAGTAACTTCTGTCCTTTCTGTAACATCACAGATTCATTTTGCCTGTGTGTGTACTTTAATAGACTGATATGGTCTTGCTTCTTTCCATCAAAATTATGTTTATGAGAGTCATCCTTGTTGGTATAACTGTATTGTGTTTTACTCTTATTGCTGTATAGTATTTATTTGTAGGAATATATCATAATTGATTTATCATTCTGTTCATTCTACATTTGGGTTAAGATATTTGAGGCCATTTGAATGACATCCTGAGATTTTTTTATGAATATTTTTTGGTTATAAAAGTAGGGATTGAATTAAGGGTGTTAAGACAGTCATATCTTCAGTATTTAGTAGATACCAACAAACAATTTTCCAATATGATCATACCAATTGACAATCCAACCTATAGGTTGTACCATGGTATTGCCAACACTTGAAAGTTGAGATATAAATCTAGGGGGTGTAAAGTGTTAAAAAATTGTGTTTGTAATTTGAATCTTCTTATGACTAGTGAAATTTAACATCATTTTATATGCTTGTTGGTATTTTGGATATCTTCTTTTTTAAAATGTCATTCAGGTCTTTCAACAAATTTGGATGGGATTTTTATATTATTTTTATATTATTGATTTGCAGTCTATATATGATTCCTTTCACATTTAAATTTTATTTTCTATTTTTTCCTTAGAAATAAAGTTGATTTGGTACATTGATTGATCTTATATCAAATTAATCTTGCTAAATTCACTTGTTAATTCTAATAGGTTGTAAATTCTTATAGGTTCTCTAGGTTTTATCTTTTGCTTTCCAGTTGCTTACTATTTTTAAATATATGTCGATTACTTAATAATATATGAAATATTATACATAAATTTCATCCAATATGCATAGTACAAAAGTAATTAAGAGCTGAAATGATTTTGAAGATTGGAAGGGATAAAAATAGCATTTTGAAGGTTGGAGGCTTAAAATAGTGAAACTTACTTGATCTGGCATTCTATTAAGTATTTTTTTTACTGTTGCTTTTTTACACTCTTCCGTAAAATACAGATGAAATATTTCCAAGAGATGCAGAAAGGGATTTCAGAATTTATATTGCTCTGATTTGCTGTATGATATTTTTGGTTACATAAACACAGTCATTTGATGCTGAAATTTGAGACAATCCCTTTTTCTTTAAATCCTTGTTGGTCTATTATGCAGGAAACGGGGGGCTGTATCTTTCCATGAACAGATGGTGAGCAATTTGATCTGGTTGAAACCAACATTTGCTACAAGTGGTACATGGCATTTTGCAGAATGGTAGAAAACTAACCATACTTTTTTGCTTTCTTGAGTCGTTAAGTCTATGGTGCTGATGAAATCCTAAATTTCTGACCGATGATTACTGCCAGACATTTTGATGATAAATTCTCAGCCTATGTTTGTGGTTTTTACTCATAGCAATACATTCTGTCCTTTCAGAAAAGTGATATAGTCATAAATCACCTCCTATTTCAGACTCAAGTTGATTTTTCTCCCCTCAATTATCCTTTTTGATTCCCAAGGTGTATCTGGGGGGAAATAAAAGGCACATGTAAGGAAGAGAACTAGTATAGCATTTATTGGATACTTTACATGACCTAGACACTGAGCAAAACATGTTGCAGATGTGTATTGCATTTCAGCTCCACAATTTTCAAAATAAGATTTTGTTGGTCCTTCTTTTAAAGGTGAGAAAACCAAGGCTGAGAGATACTGAGTGTGTATTCAAGATCACATAGCCAGTAAGTTAGAAATTCTGGATTTTGAATTCAGGGCTGCCCAATCCCAAAGTCATGGCCAGTCTCCATGGCCTTCTCAAGTCACAGTTACTGAGTGACTGTGTAGGTACCTGGTCAGTCTGATTCAAGAATCTGTTCTTTCATCTGTTCTCTTCACTGCCTTCGTGGAGAGAAGAGTAATTCGTCCTCGTTAAGTATTGGCACAGAGCCTGGTGCACAGCAGGAACTCAATGTATGTTTGTCCAGGGTAAGAAATGGAAAATGTTGGCATTGGTGATTTCTATTCACTCAGAATACTTTACTACTGAAACCAGAAAAAAAATAGACAAATGGGTATTCTAAGGTTGTTTATGCCTTGTTATTTCCGTGTGTTTTCTCGTCTTTTCCTATTTTGCTTTCTGTATAATAAAAATTTTAAAGCCTGAATAACAGCCAGACAACTTAGGGAAAATGTCCAAAATGATGACAAAAAAAAAGTCATCTAAGAACAAGAGATAAAATTATCCTTGGTAAAATAATGACAATTTATCATAAAAGGTTTCTTTTTATAGATTTCTCCAAATTTAAGCATAGTAGCAAAATGTAAAAACTTCTCACATTTTTTGAAAGCATCTGTGGTTTAGAAAGTTAAGATGAAATAAACTGAAAATACATTGAAGTCTTATTAAAATGATTTCTAATTGTGGAATAGTTATATGGGTGACATAGCCTTTGAATGGGGTTTCACCTGTTATATTAATACCTCATTGAAAATTTTATTAATTCACATAATAGGAATTTTACTATTTTCAATAGTGTTATAACCATGTTCTAACATTTTTCTACATCCTGGACTATGCTTGTCTTATAGTAGCCATTCAATATATGTTTGATGATTGAGTATTAACTATTAATAAAAAAGTTTTTAAAGAAGAATTCTGCTTTAACTTTGGGAACAAAGGATCAATAACAATAAATAGCTAATATTTATTGCAGATGTCAGGTATCAGGTTAAGGACTTTACACATATTATTCATTTTGACATTTCTATGAAGTTGTACTGATTTTTATCTTCATTATACAGATGTGAAACTATGGTTTAGAGAAGATAATTATCCATCTGCTGGTAAGTAGATGAGTCAGAATTTTAACAAAGATTCAAAGACCAAGGTGTTAACTATTAAATGTTATGCAGGTTTCTATCTTCTATTTTTGAGAGCTTTTCTCACACCAGAAATTGATAAACAATAAAAGAGACAGGAAGCATGTGATCTCATTGATGTGGCCATTCATCACTTAAATTGGAAAGGTTTATGAACCTGCAAATAATGACTAGAGGTTAGGATAGGGGCTATAATGTAGCCAGAAGGAAATATTAAAATAAAGCCCACTAATGAGTCATACTGGGGGAGAGCCTCTGAGATTTAAATATCCATCTATCTCTAAGGGCATCCTAAGAGGCTTCCACTTAGTTACTGCATCAGTCTGACCCTGCTAATGAACTTTCCCAAATCAGTCACCAGTATCTACTCCCATGCATATATCCATCTTAGAGAAAAAGCACCCCAGGGTTGCTTCAGGGAAGGCTGCTGGGCAAACATATACATTATCTTTCTCCCTGTGGTAAATTACCAAATCATTATCTTCGTCACACATAGGTACATATATATGTATGTATTTATTTTGAGACAGGGTCTCACTTTATTGCCTGGGCTAGAGATGGCAGTGACATCATCATATCTCACAGCAACCTCAAACTCCTGGGCTCGAGCGATCCTCCTGCCTCAACTTCTGGAGTACCTGGGACTACAGGCATGTGCCACTATGTCCAGCTAATTTTTTAATTTTTGTTAGAGACAGGATCTCGCTATGTCACCCAGGCTGATCTTGAACTCTTGGCCTGAAGTGATCCTCCTGCCTTGGCCTCCTAAAGTGCTACGATTACAAGCCGGAGCCACCATACCTGGCCCTCATTTATATGATATTTATTGGGGGCTCTATGTGTTCCAGGTATTGGACATATACTGGTGAATGACACATGCATAGTTCCTACCATTATGGGATTTATAACCTAGGGAAAAAAACAGACAACAGACAACACACAGATGTATATTTAGAAATGTAGTGACTGTTTTACAAAGGATCAGAGTTCAGTGGTTTAAAGGAATAACTTTAATATAAGGATTTTATGAAACTGGCAAAAATTTTGATATATGCCCCCGTGTGAGAATATGTGGCTGAATTGTACACAGACTCAAACACATTGCAATGCTTTATTTTCCTATACATTAGGAGAAAAACCCTTAGCAAGGCGCTACTAGAAATATCTTTGCCTTGTCTCTGGTCGAGGCTCCCTCTCTGTTCTTTCATTTCATCATCCTGGCTGGATCATTTTGGTTCTGCTGCCAAACTGTCCACATCCAATAAGGGTTCATGCTGGCCCATCACTAGCTTCAGATATATGCTTTTTGAATATTTCTTCAAAATTCTGTGCCTACAGTCGCTTAAGGCCAGATCGTTAAACTACAGACTCAACCTTTAGTCACACTTAACTGGCCGGTATCTGTTGAAGGTTCTGTGAGCCATTTTACATTCTCATTCAACTACCTTTTCAGGTAAATTCGTAGAGCACTACGGCAATAGGGATAGCTAAATATCAGCAAGGCTAAGGAGATTGTGCCGGGTCACGAAGTTCTGAAGGGATAATATGACATCAAAGGTGGGTTGGTCTAACTCTTAAAGCTGATGTTGTCTTTACGATAGGTGGGCTGTCTCCAGTGTACACTCCAATCTTCATCGTATGCAGCCCCATAGAGCAGTGGTATCACAACCATGTGGGGAGATTTCTGGAATAAAGGCAAGTGTTTCTTTGTATCAGTAATAAACATAAGCTTTCCAATACTATTACTACTGTTATTACCTTGGCTGTATCTTCTCCTATTAGACATTAGTGCCTTGACTGCACTATAAATTGGCAGAATCATTTACGAAAATCAGCATAATAGTCCAAATATATCTGTGGAAAAACAACAGACCTACAGTCCACATCAGTGCTTGTCAACTCTTTTGATTTTGGAAATGACTTCAGAACTGTGGTACCGTGGGGTAATATTTGTCGTCCTGGTAAAAAGTAACTTTGTCTTCTACAAGTTATTTATTTTGGAAATTTTATCTATAGGATTAGGAAATCTATTCTACTGATTTTGCTATGCTTTTGACCCAATATTCAATAATTTTTGTGGGGGGGGCTATGCTCAGAATAAGGGTCCCAGAGAAGATTTTCTCAGGATAGAGGCATGGCTGGAGAGGAGAACCCAGGTAACAGCCAGGTAAGCAGTGCAGGGTGTCAGGTGTAAAGCTTGAGGCAAGTCTCCAGAGAGAGAAAGCAGAAAGGGAGGATCAGATTAGGAAGTTCAGAACTGATGTCACAATTAAGAAGCATGTTAGAGCTGACTTTGTACACGTGCAGAGGCAGGCCTAGTAGTAGATTGGGTTCATGCAGGCTCAGAGAGCCCTTTGTATCCTCTTTTGACATATATTGCCCAGCAGCTGTGGACTGAACAAGGGAAAGACCATTCAGGAGGGTTCCTTTTTGTCTTGCTTCATATCAACTGCAGTTTGTCTCATGGAGATTATTGTCATTTTTGCAAAGGTTGAAACAGGAAGATGCCTAAAAGGTACACTCCAGTATTTGGCCGCAGTTGACTTTGGCTGTAGCTTCACTTATTAGGTTTCGAGGAACATCCAGTCTTAGTCTGTTTATGGACCAACCAGGGATTGTACCATAATCACCTGTTACTTGCCTCCCTCCTTTAGTGGACTATATAAGTGGACCTTATTCATGTGTCCTGAAATGGAGCAAATGTTCAGTAATGCTTGATAAGTGAATGAAAAAATAAATTAATGACTGTTTAGCTTTGGCCGTAGATAATTACCTAGGACACATGTAAGGGAAATGCAAACAGGATGGTAAACGTGGTAGTCAGGTGACCCACTCGCTTTTCTTGTACTATTCAGATAAATTTTGCTTTCTCTAAAAGATGGCTAACATTAAAAAATTGCAACTAAAATGAAGAGAAATTTGTAAATATTCTGTTCAAACTCTTTCATCTTGTGAAACTTTTGTTGACAGTGCTTTTGTTCCATAAATGTTTATTTTTGTGTTTCATTAATGCCCAAATCAAGTTAATTTTTCAGAACAGATCTATACAAATTCTCTGCTCCGATTCCCCATAAAGGTGGGCTATTTGCTGGTTTAATTATCACAGCTTCTCAGTTGTAGAACTGTTATTATTTATCATCTTCTAAGGAGAAGTGAGCTTTTACTGTCTAAAATTTGGCAATATTTGTATAAGGATAAAGTAGATATTTTTCCTCTGTGAGGCCAGAAATATTAATATGTTTTAGATAAAAGAAAAGCAAAAATTGATAGGGTTTAGTATATTGTATTTCTGCTTTCAATCCCAAGGTGGCAAAAACGCCAATGGAGACCCACAGACTGCTTTTGTCTGGACTGGGGAGACATCTGTGAATATGAATATAACTAAGAGTACAGGCAATGTTATAAATTCACTTAAATGACTGTGCCACTCTAAAACTTACTTTTATAATGACAGGTTTTATTTTGTGCTGCTCTTCCAGATCTTGTCCTCTTGAGTCTGCCCATATTTTCTGTAACTGCTTGGTAGGGCTGTCCCATTCCTTAAGAAGAGGTCCCCTAGTTGCTGCTGTGATGGTCTTTCTGTCAACAGTGTTTCGAGGCCACTTCTTCTTAGGATCTTAGATCCTGATTCCCTCTGGTGGAGACACTTCAGTCTGCTTCAGTAATTTCTTTCCCTTTCTCTGCAAAATTATTTTGGCCTCTGGTCACTGTTTCAAACCTCTTCACAGTTAAGACAGCTCTCTTTTCTTCTGCTACCCTCTTTAAGAGTAGTTAAACCTGGGGGCATCTTCTTTCTATCTTATTTTAATCTATCAGAACCTTTAGGATTTAATTTTCCCCTTAATATCTGTCTAGATTATAACATTTTAACCTTTCTTTTAAAAATAACTCTTTCTTCTTCTAGCTCCAATCTGTCTTTTCTTATTCTGACAGAAGACTAAAGTATGAGTTTTCAAAGGATTTGTTACTACTTAACACCATGACGGATGTTAATGTTTCAAGCATTGGTTTTTAAAATTATCTAGAATCTTTCTGTCTATGAGAATTTCCCTAAAATGCTTCTTTCTCCTATCCAAGAAGATAATATTTTATTTGTAATAAAGATTCTCATTTATTTATCTTTTTCTTTTCTTTTCTTTTCTTTTCTTTTCTTTTCTTTTCTTTTCTGAGACAGGGTCTCATTCTGTCACTCAGGCTAGAGTGCAGTGGCATCATGACAGCTCACTGCAATCTGAAACTCTTGGGTGCAAGCAATCCTCTTGTCTCAGTCTCCTGAGTAGCTGGACCTATAGGCACTTGCCACTGTGCCTGGCTAATTTTTCTAATTTTTGTAGTGATGTGGTCTTGCTCTTGTTCAGGCTGGTCTCAAACTCCTGGCCTCAAGCAATCCTTTTGCCTCAGCCTCCCAGAGTTCTAGGATTACAGGCATGAGCCACTGCACCCAGCCTCTTTTCATTATTTTTTAATAATAAAACCTACCATCTTTCTAAGGGTGAAGCCTCAGTTTGGGTGTCTGAGATCTGAAAACATCATTAGGAATCAGGTAAATAGCAAATCCAAAGTTACTTTGAATACATGTGATATGCAGGTTCTTTGAGCCCATGGATAAGCCACACAAACTCCAGCCACAACTCTCTTTATGATCCTAAATCCAGGATATCTAGCAGTTTGACAACATACGATATTGTCAGGCTCACCAATGTCTAAATTAATATAATCCTGCCTCTAACTCCCCTGTAATACCAGATGAAACTATGACTCTGTAGTCTGAGGTCAAACTGCAGGAGCAGCTGAATCCTAAAACCTTTGCCTGTTCTATATAATATTTGGTAAAGCCCTATGTGGCATTTACTTAAAATCTGAGTTGGTTGTGTTCTATTAGGCCCCACATGTGTCCTGCATTTGCTATTCTTCATGGGACAAATGACTGACTTATTTTCTGGACAGTCACTGTACCATATGCTGCAGTGACTGCCCAAGGCCAGAACTTACTAAAAGTAACTTATAGCTGCCTATCTAGGCTATATGAGATTAACAACTGTCTGTGTGCAATGTGAGCTCTTGCAAGCTATCAAAGTAAAAAACCCACAAGGCTAAATCCACAAAAAGCCTTAATGTCCACTATTCCTTTGTTTTCTAAATGATACTCACTGTCTATTTTTTAAAGATTCATTGCCCAGTGCTTAGATTTTGGGTTTAAGGGGAGGCAAATAAATGACATCCAATAATAAAAAGAAAGTAGTCAAGCAGGTAGAAATCAAAATAACATAACATTCTCTTTTTCAATTGATAGGGTTAATTCAGAGTGTGGCTTATATTTGCAAACGATGCTTTCTTTCTAATACAAACCCCAGAATTAGAGATTTTTGCCCACCCAGTTAAAGCCATTATTGGGCAACCCAAGGATTCCCCATATGGAAGTCTGTTCATAGAGTCTCCCTGGGGAAGAAAGCCAGAACTTTTACCTTTCTCTGTGTGGCCTGACTTCCAGTAGAAAAGCAGAAGTGGGTTGGGCTCAAGGAGATTACAAGCCATTGAAACAGCATAGGAATTTTGCTTTAATTTGCATTTATCTGATAATTAATGAAGTTGATCATCACTTCCCACATAGTTAATAATCTGGGAGGGAATATTTTGACCTTGGAGAATGCCCTCTTTCAACCTGCCTATTCTTATCCTGGGGCCACAAACATGATTCATAGAAACACAGTGCGTTCACAGGATATGGACTCCTTTGATCATAGAGACAAATTTAATTGATGGCAATTTTTGAGTGGTGATATTGTCACTGAGTAATCAATGGGCTTGCTGCCCAATATGCACAGAGGCCAATACCAGGCACTGGCCTTTGAGAAAAGAAAAGATTTATTGCAAGTCTTCTGGCAAGGTTACAGGAGAAAATGCTCGAATCTGTCTCCCTGAGCCGGGGGCTGGGTTGGGTTTTATAAGCACAGGGAAATGAAACATGATCTGAATGGCTCTTGCACTGGGGTGATGCCAGGAGGCATGCTCGCACTGGACCATGCCATGGGGTGATGCCAGGACTCAATCTGATTTGATCCTGGATCCTGCCATATCCGTTTCTTAATTCAGTCCCTGCTAAAACCTTTAGTCCAGTCTAAGCACTCAGTCCAGTCTAAGCACTTGGATTCCATTTATGGTTGTACACGTGGTTCATCTGGGCATATTCGGGTTATGTGACCTTCAACATGGAGGTCCATGGCAAGTGAAAAACAATTCACAACTTTATTACATAAAAGTTGAGCCAGATTGGTCTGGTGCAGTTATAGTATCAGCATAACTGTGCTTTATCCCTGACTCTTTTGGAATTGCAGGGTGAATGAGTATTAACAATCTTATATTTATAAAGACATGATTTGCAAATAACTGTTACATGTATTACCTCATCCCTTCCCCTTGCAACAACCTCAAAGGTAGGACATGCTGTTTCCTGTTTCATAAAGAGGGAAACAATTTCAGAACATCAACTTTTGCCTAATGTTGTAACAACTTGTTAAGTAGAAATGCAAGGCATAGAATCATAGAATTTTTACTGTAAGCTCATTTTTCTTTCCACCATATCAGCCTCATTTTGTTTTGTGAAAGAGATGAAAAGACTTGGGGGAAAAAACATGTCTTTGCTAATAGTGTGGAGTCATGACAAAGGAAGGAAACGTAGAGAAGGATCTAGAAA